TTGCAAGAATTGTAAGGATACTTGAAACTGATTTGCGTTTTACCGAATGCAGTGAAGAAAACGAAAAGCAGTGCATGAATAAGATGAAATTCATCGTTAGTAGTGGTAGTAAAGTGTAACAAAGACCAGTTAGTTAATTCAACCGCACACACTAAGCTGTTTCATTCCATTGTTGCACTTCTATTTGGTTTGTGTCCAAAACATCTCTCTCAATTTGTATCGACAAAGTGTACAAGCAGAAGTGCAATAACAGAATGGAATGAAATCGAAAATTACAACCCAAAAACGATTATTGTACTTGCTCGGTAACACATGTGGGTTTATTTTGTCGCATGTAGGTTTATTTTGTTAGCAAAATGATTTGTATTATATGTATATAATGGTTATGGCGCATTCCAGTCTTTTTGTCCCTTCATTATCATTGCGTTTGTTTTAATTTCATGACGATTTCGAATTTAAGAATTTTTTGTCTTTTTTTTCTCTGTTTTAATACTATAAACATTGTAAAGTAGGGCAACGATATTTTATCGTTGCAGATAAATCTCGATCGTTGCATTTCTTATGAAAGATAAGCCTTAAGCGCTACACAATGATCACGTTTGCAACGTGCATTATGCGCATCTGACACAATACTTTTTCTTGGATTGATTTTTATTCGACCAATGCAATGCGAGCTATACAATATGAAGTGGGTGCAGTTGATTTTTTTCTGCTTTCAAAATTATAGGCACATAGACGTTGTCCTTTGAAAAGTTTAGGTCAATTGCGAATCCTTTTGCAAATTTGTAGACGATGTCTCCATTTTTGCTAGCGGAAGAATGTTCACCACCAATAATACACAATTGGGCAGACGTACACTCCACTTAGGTGCACTCCAGACGAACATGCTTAAATTGAATAAGAATTTGATGCTGATAAGGAATATATATATACTTCGTGGGCTCTCTGATGCTTCCTTCTGGGCCTTGCAAACGTTTTCACAAAATGAATATACCCCCACCGTTCAATCTCTTAATCCTAACATTTATTTATTTATTGTTCATTTTTTTATTTTTAAATACATTTACAAAGTATGGACTTAAAGGCTAGTGGATAACTGCTCGCTTGTATTAAAGATTCTTTAACTTTAATATAATTAAAAATATATACAAGTGTATATCGCGAAGGCGAATTCAGAATTAGAATCAACTTTTCTTTTTTTTTTTTTAACTATTAAAAGTGTAAAAGCATATATAGCATGTATAAAAATTACAAAGTGAAAATAAAAAAAAAAAAAATGGGTGTTTAGTTATATCAACGGAGCCAGAAATCGAGTCGGATGGCTTATTGACAACATAAGTTATGAACTCTGTTCGACCATTGGCCGCATCATGTCGAAAACATACTCCCTTTTAAAGCAGAGGAGGAGACGTTCATCTTAAAACCTATGAAGTTTCCTAGGCATTAAACCGTCGTTCCAAATAGCACTTTTCTTGGCCCAAAGTTTTAAAAGTTATTATAAAATTGCCTTTTGAGTAAAATTTAAATTTTTAATATTTTTTTGCTGTTTTAAGCGAAAGAAACGAATATCTTGTAAATAAATTGGGAAAAAAGAAAAAAATTAATTTTAAAAAATGAAAGAAATTAAGAAATTTCATATGAAGACATACATTTATTAATAAAAAATAAATAAACATTAGTTACTAAATATCCCAAAGTTTTCGTTTGTTTTGCCGACGGCTTTGCATTTAACAGAATTGAATCGCTTTGGTCTGTTATTTAACAGAATTGAATCCCTTTTGTCGGTTAAGTTGGGCATTTAACATAGCTGATTGGCATTAACATTTAAGTTGTTAAGTTGGGGATTTAACCATTTATTTATTAAAAGCGACTCTGTGCTTTGCCTTTCAACAGTGAATTTAGCAGAGGCCATGTCTTGAGTACGCGGATGTATCCTGGACATCTCTTACAACAAGTGGTCAAGAAATGGCATTTTCAGTCAATTCGTGGCGCCATTTTTAAACCGTTGAATCCAAAACCGATAATCTGCGATTAAGACGAAGAATATATTATACGAATGTACAACACGAAACGATGAAGACAGTAATAGCTTTTATGGATAAATCAGGGTAACGAACTTCAAATCAACAGTAGTATGAGTAAGAAACTTATCAGCCAAAGTTGCTTGGAATCTCCGATGTGAGAGAAACGTGTTTTTTTTTTTTGTGTATTTAATAAAAAAAAATTGTTTAGAATTACGAGATATAAAAACAATAAGTTATTATTAACTTCAAATGAGTCCCTAAAGAAGGAGAAAAACTGAAATATAGAAAGATGAAGTTTTTTATGCGGAACGAACTTATGTTTAGTAATAACGCGGTAAAATTTTATAAGTAACCATTGTAAGTAAGAATTATAATTTGTGCCCGCACCCGGAATGAATAATCTTATAGATATTTTAAAAGTATTTGCAGAATGTAATATGAATAAAATAGTCACAATTTGTTAATATTATCAAATTTGTTAATATTAATTGCTCAGGATATGTCCCCTAAACATGTGGCGAACATTGGGCGAAAGGTAAGAGGAATTAGAGCGGATGTACCATCGAAATTAAAAAGCATATATATAGAACGATCAAAAAAGCTACCGCCTTAGATTAAAAAGTAGAAGAGAAGCCACAGTTGCGTATTGTACGGGCGACAGTGATGTATCTGCAAATAGAAAAATTCTCACAAATAATGAACAAAAATATAATTTCTTCAATATAAGCTCAATATACATTTTTGGGACATGGACATTGCACATGCAAAAAGAGAAACAGCTGTTCTTATGAAGGCGTATTAAAACGGATACTATGCTCAGCGATTTTTGCAAACTCAACTGAATGCGGCGAGCATTGTCAAACGCTGTGTGTCCGCATTACAATCAAATTTTCGTAACAAGTGAATTCCAACGACGTGTCAAGGAGCTACACCGCATGTACATAAAACCCATTTAAAAAACGATACAGATAGCAGAAATAATTCTCTGACGGGAGAACGAAAAGGAAGAATATAAGCGGACACGATTGGATGAGCTCGCTGCGAAGCTGTTGTCTACATCAAGTTGATCGAAAAAATAAGTAATTATTTCTAATTAAAAATTGACCGCCTCATACCAGTAAAACATACCTACAATTTTCGCAATTTGTATAAAAAATTATACACAATTTACCGTAAACAAATTCCTGCCATTTTTGCTAATTGTTTAATTTTATTTTATCTTTATAGAGTAGTACGGCACTGAGCGTGAGATATGGTATTAATTAATTCTCATTTTTAAAATTGCGAGAAACACTCTCTCGAAATTGTGAAAACAAGAGTAAATAAAATTGCTTGCGCTTTGCGTTAGCAGTAGTTGCTTAGACCTGCACTTATCATAGATAACAGCTGTAATTGAAAATAAAATAAATTCCAAACAAAATTGTTTGCTTACGAACAGCTAAAGCAAAACAAAAATTTTGAATTTGTAAAATGTAAGTAAATTAATTTATTTCTTTTTTCCATTTACCCCAATTGTCTAATTTATATTCTTAACTCGTCAAAACTTGTAATCAATTCTGTATCATCAATATTTTCATATATCATCGTATACTGTACGCTATCACTGATAAAGCGCAAAGGATTAACAAAAAACAATTCACCACGCTACATCCAAGTATGGTCTTATCGCCAACGTGCCTAATCCATTCTATTAAATAAACAAAAAAGAAAAAAAATCTATTTCGAAACAATAATAGAAAAGCAAGGGGCAAATTTGACAATTGCTTGTTTACAATAACAAATCCAGCAGGCGTAAATTTTCATAAAACAAAATTGTGTAAAATTTTCGATAAAATGAAATGAAATAATTCCATATTTTCACTTTGACCAAATCAAAATAAAATTTGCAACTAATGAGTTGCATTGCTTTTCGAATCGGCGCGAATGTTTACACATAATATGCGGAATGGAATGAGCTGCAATACCAATGAGCTGTGGGTAATAAAGTCAGAGTTGAATAGCTTACGAGAGCAGGTACCAAGGGAGTCAAATTTACTGGGCTTATCAAGCAAAAACATAGCGATATGGCCAAAAGTAAGTTTTCAGAAATTATGCTAACATAGCATTTGCATTTGTTTTATTTTCACCGTTTTTTTAAGTATGGGCAGACCACAAATAGAAGACGAAAAGAAAATTGAGCTTCAACAAAAAAACGGAGTATTGACAAATTATTCTTTGTACAATATTATATATATATCAGGTATATAGTCAGCTTTTAAAAGTTAAAATAAAAGACAGCCTTTTAATTTTCCCAAAATACACCTTGAAACTTAAAATTATATCTTTGTAATAAAAAGAAAAACAAGAATTCAGTTACTAACCTTTCAAATATTTAAAATTTTTTTTTTAGGTTCAGTTGCTTGTAAGTAATAATTTTTATTTTCAATTTATAGTTGCGGTTTTCTCTCATAAATGTAACTTTAACTCAGAATAAAAAATAATATCCCAAGACAATTTACCTTACGCTGATTTGGACAACTTTGAGAGGGTTTTTCTCGCACCTATTGCCTATGCGTACGTATTGTTTAAAAAGTCGAAACTTGAAAATGGTACTTAGTTAACGGCACACATAGAGTTGTCAGCGTTGATTATTAGCTTTCTCCCTCTATTTTAGTGATTTTGAGATTTCGAAAGATAAATCGGTTAAGAGGGACATCAGATGTTAAAGATTATTCTTATTAAATATGATCTACAGAAGAAGGCATTTGTAAACATGAAAAAACCATTTATTTACATTGATTAAATATCCGCAACGCAAAGTCACTCTTCAATAGAAAAATGTTATCTCTTATAACATCTCTGATTTTGTCGTAAAAACAAACGGTTTTTATTCAGGATACCAGAAATACCCATTACTTGAGCAGCACTACCTTACAACGTAAACAACGCCGAATTTTATCAAAAACTAACAAGATATATTTTCATAAATAGTTTTCTCTTCTAATTTTAAAATAAAAGATTTATTAGAAAAGTGATAAAGCAAATCGCAAATATTATCTGTTCATTTTTCGTCATAACATAAGAATTTTGTAATATTCAATAACAAAAATTTTTACAAAAAAATTTGTTGAAAACAGCGCGAATTTACAGTAAACTGTGAAAGCAAAACATAAAAAACAATAATTGGAAAGAAAAAAACAGCAAACGGCGAAAATCTATAAGAAAGTATAAAACTAATAAAGGTGGATCATAACCTCAATTTTTATGTGTAAGTGGAGGATTATAGAGAGAAACGTCAAAAACGCGCGTAGCCACTTTTTCACTGTTAAGAGAGGAAAAACTTTTCCATACATTTTATTTCGATTTTTGCCTTCTATAAACTAAAAATATATAATAGCAAACGTCTACAGCAACAATACCGATACGAGAATTACTTGTGAACTAAGATAGATATTGAAAAGGTACACAAGTGACATTTGGTGCAATTGGTGGCTGTACTTCACCATATAATATATTGCAAGAATCGTGCGTGTGTGTTTATAAGTTTGTAAAAATTTCTCCCAAACGGAAACAAAGTTTTCAACGGATTAGAATGGAGGTCGATGATACGATTGCAATAAGTTCTCCAGGTGATGACGTTGAAGATCACGAAGCACAAACTACTACACAGGCCTTAGAAAAACACAATACAGATGGAGAAGCGGAGCAAAGTGTGGAAGAGCCGCCAGATGAAGACGAGCTTGAAAATTTCTCAAATATTACAAATACTCCGTTTAAACTAGAAGTCTCAGGTTCCGAAATTGAAGATGATGAAGATGTAGAGACTGTGAAAACAACCACTGGGAAAGGAGTTAGACGCAAATTAGTAACTACATCTTTGCAGGAGGAGAAACTAGAACAAGTTAAAGACGAATTAGAAGAGTTGAAAGAGGTAGCCATGAAACGTAAACGTTATGAAGTGCGTAACTCAGACTCTGAAGATTGTCTCTTGGGTTTTGATGAACATAATGGCGAGGCGGAATTAATAAAATTTGAATTATCAGAGAAACGTTTAGTTGAACTGGGCGAAGAAGGCATTAAATTACCCCGCGATGTCTATACAAGTCCAATATGTTCTCCTAAAGTTATGAAAAACGTTGAGGAGGTAAAGTCTTGTTTATAATTATTTGTATCCATATGAAATCTCACTTTTTTGTAGACGTCGAACGAAGAGAAAGTCCTTTTATTACAAAAGTCACCTAAAGATGAGGAGAAACCTGGAGACATACATCTAGTTGCAATGGATATTGAGGATAAATCAATACAATCTACAGCTCATATAGTGGCTTATGCTGAAGAATGTAACAAGGCAGTGGTTACTAATAATAATTCTTTAACCGTCAACACCATGACCGCGAGTAAGGTAATTAATACGACTTCTGCAGACACTGTCGCTGGTCCGATTGGAAAGAAAATATTGTCGCCTCAAGATAGTTACTATAAGAAACCGTTTGAATACGGCTGGAAACGGGAATTGGTATGGCGAGCAAACTTAGAGGCTAGCAAAGATAAAGCTGATGTGTATTTCATATCACCGGCTGGAAAGAAATTGAGAGCACGCAGCGATATTGTCCCTTTACTTGAAGGAGATTTAACTATAGACCATTTTTGTTTTGTGCGCGAGCCGTTAGGTGCGGGCCCTGAGTTGGAAACAGTACGAAGTGCTAAACCATCCTCTCGAGCCTCAGTAGCAGCGGCTACCTTGGCAGCAGCTCCCTCGCCTCCTAACATAGGCAAACGTATATCTAAACCCAAAGGACCGAAAGGTGCTAGCCCTCCACCTCAGGGGTGGACTCCTAGCAAGGCGTTGAAAGTAAATAATGCTGCGCTGCTAAGTAGCAGCAATACGGGTCGCCACAGTTCTTCGTATCACCATCACTATTATCAAGGCACACCACCTAGTAACAAACGTCAAGATCAACATCACCAGCATTCTCATACATCTGGCGGTAGTAGCAGTCATTCCAGTAAAAGCATCAAGTTAAAAAAGTAAGCTTGTAGTGTTTACTAGAAATTTATATTCTTGTCCGTAGTTAATTTGTTTATATTTAAGTTTGGTTGTGTCTATCTTTTTTTTCTCTGGTACAGTAGCTCGCTCTCGTTTTTTTATTTCTTCGTTTAATTTGTTACTCTAGCTAGCGGCATTGCCTAGAATTTTCTGCCATATCATTTTTGTCATTTTCAGAACTGTTGCCACTACTGCCAATAAACAACAACAAACTGAATATACTGACAACAATGTAATTAATACTCCCACTAGCAGCAGCAACAACAGCAGCATCAAATTTACAAATTCCACTAAAGCCCGAGAACCATGCTCGGTAAACTGTCTGAAGGCATGGGGACAAGTACCGCTTCTGCAATGCATCAAATGCCTGTGCCACTATCATCATCAATGTATGGGTCTGACACCACATAACAGTGATTATCGTACGGTTTACCATCTTCAAGGCAAAGAGTACACATGTGAGGTAATGGCGGAATTAAAAAATGATTTTGGAAACAAAGTTTTGTTAATAATTTTTTCCATTCCCGCTTGTAGAATTGCTGTTCGCTCAGTACTGGCGGCATTAAAGTGACTACGAGAAAAGCTTCTCTAGCATCATCAGCAATGGGACATCCAGATAATAAGCTACCTCAGACAATAGCCGTTGTAAAGGGGAAAAAATATGTGATGGTGGCTAAGCCTTTGCATCTGCCCAACGAGTGAGTTTTGTAATGTTGGTCGAGAGCGAGTTTTTTATATTAAAAAGTTTTTTGTTTCTTTACTTGTGAAAGCTCCACTTTTAATTTCATACCTTGAAGCCATTTTGAAACGTATTCATCTTTTTAAAATTCTTTTCTTAGACATGTTAACGACATTGAGAATGACTTAAAACAAATCAACGATAGCATGCGAAAAAATCGTAAACACTCTTTGGAAACATCATTCCCCATCCAAAATGTGAATGCAGCGGCCAATAATGCTTTGACTGTTGATTATTCAAATAAATTATTTGCCAATAATTTCTTTGCTCACGTATCATTCGCCTACGATGCTCTGCTCAGTATATTGAAATATTTAAAGATACACGTAAGTCTACGATATTTTGGAGTCTAGAATAAAATCTAATCAAATGAAGTTATAGGAACGTCCTCGCGCAGCCGCGGTGTGCAAATTATGGAATGTGGCTGCCAAAGATACTTCGCTATGGCAAACAGTGCGTATGAAAAATTCTAAGGTATCCAGCTGGTCTGGTTTTGCGGCAGCTCTTAGACGTGGCGAAACTAAACATTTGGATTTACGTAAAATGCTCCTGACAAGCGGCCGCAGTGAGGATATGTGGCAAGATTTTTGCGAGAATATCGGTACCGTTTACTCGCTGGAGACCATTGATTTATGCCGTTGTTCAGTTCGTGTGGTGGAAAGTTTATTTCAAAGCAATCGCAACTTGCGTGTTTTGAACGCATTGGCCATAAACGATGACACCATTAACTTGGAGTATGTCGGCTTACTTAATAAATTGGAAGAGCTACGTTTGCGTGCGTGTGAGGCGGCTGTATTAACAGGAGACTTATTGCCTTTAGGTGCTTCAAGCACATTGATACATTTATCCCTAACCTCTGTAAGAGGCTTAGGCGCCAAAAATATTGAAATTTTGGGCGATTTAACTAATTTAAAGTCTTTGGAGTTAGGTGAGTGCGGGGACTTCGATTCAAGCTTTTCGGAAGCAGTATTGCCTAAACTCATTAATTTGCAACGCTTACGTTTGGAAAATGGTCAATTGACTAAATGCTGTACACTTAAGGTACTCGATGCGGCGGCCCGTCTGGCGCAATTGTATCAACTAGAATTGGTGAATTTCGATATAAAGCCCGGTTTTGAAGAAAAGCTAAGCTTGTGCACAAACATAACAAAATTATTAATCATTCCTACTTACATCTCACAATCGGCGACAACCAATAACATTGTTTTAAGTGCAGTGCAACAAGTATCGGGAATTCTTAAGTGTTTCACATGGGGCGTTACAGTCGAGCTATTACGCGTGACTGCCTTGTACGTAGATCAGTGTGAGGAATCAACGAAAAAAGAAAAACATCATTTTGATGAGTGCATACCGGTGTTGAAGCCAGTGCCCGGTGCTTTACCTAACAGTGAAGAAGAACATGAAGAGGGCACTCAAAAATTAGTAAGTAAAATAAACACAAACAGTAGCGAAGGTGACGGCGGCGCTGACGATGGTGGCACAAGTATCAGCGAAGTGCCACAAATCGAAATTCTGCCTTTGGATAAAGTGGAAACAATTTTGGCCGATAATTTACCGCATACTAAATTTACTATAGTTAAGGTACCGTATCATATGACGTGCAAGCAACATTTGGTTGAATAAAAACTAGTTTTAACTAAATGAAAAACTAAATATTAGACATATAGTGCGATATATTAAAATTAAAAAATGCAACATATGCTGTATAATTTTTAGGTTTTTCATTAGATTATGAAGATATAGAGTCTCCTCTTCTCTCCTCTTCCGCCATTATTGCGATATATTTACGCTAGATAATGTATGAAATGCTGAGCGTTAGTGATGTAAAATGATGGTAAATTTCTTTGAAATTATTAAAATTGTTGGAAATTATTCCTCCTGCTCTTTTACCTTTACTAGTTAATAAGTTTAATTTTAATTGATTATGATATGACGTCGGATAGTAATTATTGGCCTATCAGCTCGTTCGGAGAAGTCGAATATTTTATTTTTCGTGTATTTGATTTCTGTCGATGTGTATCTATAAAATTAGGACTGTTTGAAGAAATCGTATCTCGTAGTAATTAATA